TTGTCCTTTGCTGTCCAGGAGCCTGGTACTGGCCCAAGGCTCTCTGGCTTTCTGGAAAAGCTTCCTTCTCACGGCTTAGTCCACACGGGAAAACACAGTGCATCCGTGGATTTTCCCGCTCTCGGTGTCTACCACCGAAGAGGGATTGCCTCCTCTCTGCTCCAAAGCCAGGGCAGGTTTCTGAGCCGGTCGCCTCTTGGGATCCAGAGTAGCTTTAACGGAATGAGGGGTTAAAGCTTTCAGCTGCTTCCTCCTCCTTTTGCTGATGGCCAAAGCAGCTGGGAGCTGGGGGAAAAGGTGTTTGCCGGGAAAAGGGAGAGCCTTGGGATGCAGATGTGTCCACAGCCGGCTCTCGCTCCTGGCTAAGACACCCAAAGGACCTTGCGCTTTTCGGGACCGTGTCAACATACTCAAGGGAGGAATTTTGCAGAGCAGAACCCAAAGTGCAGGTCGCCCCGTTAGAAACGAGTGCTCACTGCTTGGAAAAGGGTCTTTTTTTCCGATCAGCGCTGAGTGTCTTAGGAGTGCCTCCATCCTCCATCGTTTCTTTTCAGTTATTCTTTTTTTATTATTATTTTGAACGCGTTTCAAGAGACGACAGATCCTAGTCCACAGTGGAAGTCGAATGTGCTGCTTTTATGTTAGTCATTATTTTCTATTATTTTTTTTTCCTTCTTTTGGCACATTATGGAGACTTTTGCCCCCCATCTGTAGGCTGCCATCTCCCTCTGTGTATTTGTAGCTAGCATGTGGGCAAAGCCCTGCTTCCATGGCGAGTGGCCGGCGGGGAGGGAGGCGGGCGGCCGCCCTCGATGTAGCTGCTCCGCTTTCCAACCCATTTTCTTTTGCCTCGGTTTGGATGTGCGCATCGTCAGTGACATCTGTGCTGCTTTGGTGGCCTCCAGTTCTCGAGTCTAATTTGAGCTGGCTGCTTGTAATCAGGGCAATTTCAACTGTTGTCATTCTGAATGTTCTTTTTTCCCTTTTTTTTAATTGCCACATTTGCCTGATTGACCTTTTTTTGTTTGTTTTTGTCGTTGTTGTTGTTTTTTTTTCTCTGTCTTTTCTATTGGGCTGCTCCAGGAGCCATGGCTAATCATCTTATAACCAATGCTCTGCTTCGTCCTCATGGCACTAACAACCCTTATAATACATTGCTCGGGGAATCGGCCGTCTATAACAACCCTTCTGTCAGCATGTACAACGCACAAGGTGTGCTGGAGTTTCTCTCTAATTTTTCTAGTGAGAATTCCATTTTCTGTGGCTTATTTTGGCCCATTTCTTTCTTTCTTTCTTGTTTTTTTTTCCTTCTTTTTTTCCCACCCCACACACACACACTTTGTTTTGTTTTGTTCTGTTTTTTGGAACTGGGCACAAAAATGATCCCCCTTTCCTTTCATTTCAGTGCATTTTTCCATTTTTTGTGGGCTTTTTTTCCATGAGCAATCAAGTCCGCTTTGAGACACCGCCATTGGTTCTGCTCAAAGCATTCATCGTGGTTTTGATTTTGATTATTTTTTTTTCTGAATCTCCTTGGTTTTGAGTTGTTTTGGTCTTCTTGTGTATGTTTTGTTGGCTGTATCCATCTCTCTCTTTGTTGTCAGCGCGTTTTCCGTGTTCAATCATTTCATTTCAGAAGCAGGCACACCTCTGAAGGTAAGTGAAGCTTACACCAACGCTACTCGGTTTGAAATGGCATGTAGAAATGTGCTCGGCTGTGCACCAGGGTGTCTGCCTCAGGGAGGGCAAGGGAAAAGCCACGCAAGGCAAGCACGCCCTTGATCCCTAGGGAGAAAACGGGAGCTCAAGTAAGGAGCATAGGTCAGTTCCAGGGAGTTCAGACCTTTTTAATAAATACTTGGCCGTTTGCATTAATGCATTTTCACGTGTGCAATTAAACAGCAAAAATGGGGGAAAAGCGTGGCCGGAGGTGGCTGTTGCTTCCGATTTATTTCTGGGGGCTCGTTTGAAAGGCGACCGAATCCTTACAGAGCGACGGCCCTTTCGGATGCGAGGGCTCAGGGACGTGTCGGTGCCCCGCCAGCTCTCCGCTCCCAGTCCAGGTCTTCCTTCCCAGGAAAGGCAAACTTGGACTATGCACACTCTGTGCATCCTGTATCACGGGGGTGTTTTCATTCAAACTGCAGGGAACGTCTGCATCCGACCTTTTGGCTGCCCGTTTAATTGCCTAAACAATGCTAACCGTGTGCAAATAAATTTGATCTTGCTCGTGCTTTCCTAAAGGGGTGAGGGTTAAGCGTGAGCTGCTCTGAACATGAAGACCCCGAGGGTGACACAAATGCTGAGCCCGGCTTTGGGTCTTCCGTAGACTTTTCTGCCTGACAACGCTGGGATTTCTTGATAGAGAAGTAACAGAGCAGCAGCTCACCTGTTAGGTAGGGCATCTGCTCCTCTAGAGTTAACCCAACTGCTTAAAATGCAGTGGGACTTTCCAGTCCGTCGGTAGCAGGTAACATGGGCTCTGTGTTTGGCTTAAGATCAGTCTCATTTTGAAGCCTGTGTGACTCCAGTGAACAAAGGTGACTCGGGCTGAAATGTGACTCCCCCCAAAAAAGGAAAAAGCATTTATGTGCACTTAATAATCTTGCATTCTTCTCGTTTGAACACCGGAACGTGGTAGAATTAGCTGAGCGAATAGCGCATTATTTCACAAGTAGCGGTGTTGATTTTAAAGTGCTGCTCAGTGCAACACAGCTGGGTGGTTGACACAGAAACCTGCCCTGCCTTCATCCCCTGGAGATTAAAGGAAATGGGAGCCGCACTGGTGCCGTTTAAGAGATGGGAGATCTGCTGTTGGCTTCCGAGGCAGCAGAATCAGACCCGTTATTCTGGGGGAGGCCGCAAGGTGGTTAATGGCCCTAGATGCGGTAGAGGCTTTTGCTTTCCAAACTGATTGCTGACCTTGCAGGAGGATTTGCTGTGACAACGGTGAATAGGAGGAGATCCCCCTGCAGAAACCAAGGTTAGCAAAAACAAACGGTCTCAAAGGGCCTTGCGGGGGCTTTGGGATTTCAGGCTACAGCAGTAATAGTGCATTGTAAAAGTAGACCCTGTCCCCATCTCCGGGGGTGCCTTGCCAGGGCTTGACGGGCAATGAGGACGCATTAACTAACACCACCCAACTAATCCATCCTGCATTCCTAAGGCTCTGATCTTTTTGCACCTTCATCTACCACCCCTGGCGCGCTGGCGGTGACATGAGTTTCTCCGGCCGCTCAGAGTGTACAAGGACTAAGGACATGGTAGGCGGGAAGCCCGCGAAACGCTGCGGCGCCAGCCAAGCGCTCACTCCCGGACACGGCCGCGCTCGCCCGCCCGGATGCCCCAGCCTCTTCCAAGCGCCCAGCCGCTGTCACGAAAGCCAATTTTAGCGGAAGAAGGAAACCACTAACCAGCTCTGTTTAAACAGCACCATGCCACAAACCGGTGCAAAGTGGGAAGTTGAAAGTTAATGGCTCTCCATCTTCATCATTGGCTCTTCTTTTATTACTATTATCATTATTTTTTAATTTTTTTAAACCCTTCTCAATAGCTTCACTTAGAGATGCCATTGTTTGAGCTGCTGTTTTTCTCACCTTTGTTTGCAAAGCCCATGTAGTTTTCCATGCGCTTGGTTAAAGAGAGAAAGGAAAAAGCAAGGCTTCTTTGCAAAAGTTGGCAAATGCTGGCAGCCCCGTGATGAGCAAAGGCGTACTCTTACAAAGCACTGTTGCAAAGGATGGACGGCCAAACATTTTAGCAAGGAAATGGATTTCAATTTCAACTGCCAGGGGTTATTATAACTAACAGTAAGTAAAGCCATTCATTTTAAGACTATGGAAATGACACTGACAGTGCCTGTCTTTTGAAGCATGACCATTACAGCTGTAGACTTGCCTAAATTTCCAGGCTTTCTGTCTTGATTTGTGTTGCACTCTGAACATGTTTTACAATGGCATTGGAAAAAGTTTTAAATGTGTTTTTTTTTCTTTTTAATAAAAATGTAGTCTCTTTAATATTGTGCGTAAAATAATTTTCTGTCTAAAATGTCAATATAATTTTTTAACCTGAAATAAACCATGTAACAAATTCATGTATTCTGGGCAGTGGAAATTATTTCCGTTAACTCTCTTTTCTGCATATCATCAATTTGCTTTTTACTCATGTTTCTCCTACTGTCGCTGTAAGCTTACTTGTTGTTTTTTCTTTCCTTTTCTTCATGCTGTCGTTTAGAGCCCTACAGAGAGACAAGTATGGGAGTAAAGCTAAACATTGCATATCAAATGTAATTTTTTTTAGTTCACTTTTATTGCATCACATATAGATGATGTAGTTAATAAAGGAAATTCATCTCACAGTTTTGAAATCCAAAGAATAAGAAGCATATGGATATACATATGTATATATACGTGTATGTGTGTGTACGTATATATATATGTATGTGTACATATATATATATATAGATATAGTTAAGATTAGATGATTCTTTCTTTGTTTATTTCTTGTTTTTTTGGCATCATTTTCCCAAAGTAGTTTCTCGTATAACTGTGCGTGTGAGTTTAAATCGTTTTTAAAGTTGGCATTTTTATTTGCAAGGTCATAGCATTTTTTATGGCATATTTCATTACTGAAACCCTCTGTTTTCAAGTGCAGTGCATCTGTTTTTTTGTTTGTTTGTTCGTTTTTGGTTTTGTTTCATTTTTTTACCTACCTACCGGCCTCCTTTTCTATGCATTGGCAGCAGAACTAGCGCCCAGTGCTCCAATGCATGTTGCTCAACACGACCATCAAACAGAGCCTGTTGTACCCATCACTCATTGCATCCAGCCCTCTGAAAAAAACCTCACTTTTCATTTATCCTCCCAACATTGTGGCTCCTCTGGAGACCTTCCGCCGTGAAAATAAACGGCTTTGCTCTATATCTGTGATGGCAACTTGACATTACACAAGGCTTCCTTGCTTGTTTGGGAACCCGTGACACTGCCAGCGCTCCCTAAGCATCCAAAAGCCAAAATGCAGAAGACATTTCCAGGGCGTTGTGCTCAAAATGAGAGCAAAGTCGTCCAGGCGCAGACGTGCTGCAAGACTGCATTGCAGATATAGACCGAATACGGTATTTTCGAAGGCGTGCTAGCAACATACCAAGCATTCTCCCCGCTTGATATGAGCAACCGTCAATCTTAAATTGTCAGCTAAGGGCTCTTCGGAGCCACCACGGCACCAGGATGGAGCTGCTTGTGTTTTTGTGCAGCCCTGGAAGTCCTTAGCTGAGAATTGGAGAATTTCATGCATTCTCATGTTCGTGCTCATTCTTAGGAGGCCAGTAATCCAAAAGACCAAAAAAAAAAAAAAAGGAAGCAAGCATGGTGGTTTCACCTTCCTGAGGCCTGATTTTCTCCTCCTCACGCACTTATGCGGCGCTGCATTCAAAGCATTTCTCCACGGTCTCGTGAGTGAGTGACGAGTCAAGCTCCAGGTTGACACCAACTGTGCCAATCTGCCCATGGACATGCGAGCAGGCAGTTCAATGTAGCAGCCAAGCCCATTTGTTGCTAAAGTCCAAAGGTCTCATTTCTGTGGCTGTAGGTGTATATATTCCTTGTGCGAGCGTTTGCCAAAGGGGCACCCGAGATGGGAAGGAGCAAACCAAGAAGTGCCACGCTCGGCACAGCCCCAGCATCTGCCCTTACCATTGCACTTAATAGTATTTGCCATACCTTCCACTGAACCTCGTGCTTTAATGCCCCCAGTGAAAAGGAAGCTATTTTTAAAGCCTGGAGCAAAGCCAGGCCACCTTGTATCAGCCATCTCCAGCACTGGGTGTGTGACAAAATTTCCCCCCGGCCAGTGTCGAGCTGGTAATTTTGGCCATGTGCTCGTGCGGCACAAAGTGTAGCTCCAAAAAGGCACCTTGTGCCTCCATCTGTTGCAAGGATACTTGAGCCGATCCCCATATTTTCCCTTTGGAGCTTACGCCCATCATCTGGTGGACTCCAAAGCAAAAAGGGTGAGCTTCCAAACAAGTAAGGATGCAATCCCCCAAATGCAGCAGCGGGAGCGATTAATCCGTTCTGCAAAGGCTGTTCCTCAGCTGGGATGGATTGTCCGAGCCCCGGGACTGCAGGCGGGACAATTTGGACCAGCTCAGGTTCAGCACTTTCACACCTCCCCAAGGAATATATAGCACCACTGCCACGAGGCTTTGGAAGGAAAACCCGGGGCGAGGAGGCCTTCCTCCTCCTCCTCCTCCTCACCAGCCGTTGCCAGCACTTGGTGGCGGGTTTCCATCCCAACCCCGACCCGCCGCGAGCCGGAGCGCCAGGCGGGGGGTTCGGAGCGTGCCGGTGCCGCGTGAGTGTCCCGTGTGTACAAGTCACCCTCTCTTGTGTGATGTTTTTCAGAGGGGCTTCTGAACAATGCCAGGGATACAAGTGTCACGGATACTCTACCACTGAATGGTAATCACGGCAACAGCTACAGCATCGCCAGCGGCGAGTACCTGAGCAACTGCGTGCAAATCATTGACCGCGGGTACAACCACACCGAGAACGCCCTCGAGAAGAAGATCCTGAAGGAACTCACCTCCAACTACATCCCCTCCTACCTGAACAACCACGAGCGCTCCAGCGAACAGAGCCGCAACCTGATGAACAAGCTCGTCAACAGCGTGGGCGGCGAGGACGACGCCATCGTGCTGGACGACGCCACCTCCTTCACCCATGAGGAGGGCCTGGGCCTGGAGCTCGGCGGCCGCCCCGCTGCTGCCGCCCCGCGTGTACGCGGCGGAAAACCACCAGCCCCACCTGTACGCCCGGCGGCGCATCCCGCAGGACAACAGCGAGAGCTTTTTCCCCTTGCTGACCAACGAGCACACGGACGAGCTGCAGTCGCCCAACAGGGATTCTCTCTACACCAGTATGCCCGCCCTGGCCGGCATGCCCGTGACAGAAAGCGTCACCGCCAGCACCCAGACCGACCCGCCGGCGGCCAAGAGCGGTGACGCTGATGACGTTTACTACAAAAGCATGCCAAACCTGGGCTCCAGGAACCACGTCCAGCAGCTCCACACGTACTACCAGCTGGGGCGAGGCAGCAGCGACGGTTTTATAGTCCCGCCAAGCAAAGACGGGCCGCCCCCGGACGGCGCCTCCAAGGGACCCGCTCACTTGGTCCCCAGCCTATAGAGGAT